CTAGATAAGGGCCCGTTGGACACCCTCCAAAAAAGCCTTCTCTATACTTGGAATCTTCCTGGGAGCAACACTATCTTTATGGTCTAGAGGGGAATGAGGAGGCTCCGTGACGTGATGTCATCATGACATCACCATCACCAGTAACCACTGTTGATTTTTTTTTTTTAAATCATTCGTTCGTCTACCCATTCATTCTCTGTCTTAGATTTTAAAGAAACACATACGATGCATACAATAAGAAAGGAACAATTTAAAGTGGCTATTTAAAAAACTGAAACAAAAATGTTAACAGTGGATGCTAAGGACTTTTTTTTCTTAAAGATGGTACTAAAATCTAAACAGGTAGAAGGTTAAGAAAAAGCACATAGGACAATACAGTATATTCTTTCTTATAAATACATCACAAGTTTCTTTCTAAGCTTTCTAGTAGATGCTCAGTTTGAATGATTAACAGGATTCATAAAAAGGAATGAGCACTTATTACATACCAAGTGTTTGCGAGGCATCACGTTAGGCAAAAAATGATACTCGAGTTATAGGATTCAATTTACAAAAACAAAAGTTCCTATTTTTTAACCATATGGTTGGCAAAGCTAAAAAAGGGTGATGATACCTGGAATGAGGGGGAAACGGGCGCCTTCAGACCCAGCCACGGGGACCGGCAAGCGCTACAGACCTGCTGGGGGGCTTTCTGGCATCTTGTCTAAATCAATCTTTTGGCCCCACTGTTTCATTTCTAAAAATGAACCCCACAGAAATGGGTAGACAAATGTACAGAAATATTGTCAAATGATATTTATTGGTGTCTTACTTTTAATAGTGAAAATGGAAAACAATCGAAATGTCCCACAGTTGGAGATGTACTGAGTAGAAAGCCATGCAGGAATTAAAAATGAACTGTAGCTCCCGGGCCTGTCGGGGGTGGGGGGCAAGGGGAGGGAGAGCATTAGGACAAATACCTAATGTATGTGGGGCTTAAAACCTAGATGGTGGGGTGACAGATGCAGCAAACCACCATGGCACATATATACCTATGTAACAAACCTGCATGTTCTACACACGTACCCCAGAACTTAAAGTTAAAAAAAATGAGGTGTAGCTATGGCCACACTGACCTGGGCAGACATTCATGATGGATACGCTTCTTCAAATGCTCATAGATAATGTATAATGCACTAAGATTTTTGTGAACAGACAAAAAGTCCACTTGAAAAAAATATCTTCAATGATACACATTTGAAAGTTAATAGTGACTGTTTAAAGATGGTGAAATTATATAATTTTTGCCTTTTTCTTTGTGCTTTTCAAAATATCATCTGAATTATTTTAGAGTGCGAATCTACATGACTTCTATTATCAGAAAGAAAAAGAACACCTTGTTTATGCCTCTCAGAGACAATCGAGTTTATCCAGTCCAATCTCCTTATTTTATAGAGGAGGAAACTGTGGCCCAGAAAAGAGGGTGTTAAGATTTTTGTGGAATTTCTGAAAGTCGCTGTGATGACTGTGTTGGTGCTTGCATGGTACCAAGAGGTTCACAAGAAAGATGGACACTGGGGGATGCTTTGCAGCATTGACTCCACCAGCAATTATGGCTCCACCTTGGCTTTTGTGCTTGACATGGGAGGAACTCTGAGAAAACTTGGAGTCTAGTCTGTGCATCTCGCAGCTTGCTTTTCGTCTAGTAACCAACAATCACAGCAGTGAAGCCTTCCCAGCAGGGGCACTGCCACCTCTGAGCCCTCTCAGCGGTCACTGCTGACCCACCTGGAGTTTTGTCCACCACCCCTGAGTTGCTGTTCATCTCTGGGTGGATGTTGCAACCATCCCCACCTGCGCCACCCACTGTAATGTATGCTGGAAAAGAGATCTGCCCTGTTTCATCTCTCTACATCTTAAGCACCTAGAACACATTCGTGCTCATGCAGGGCGAGTAATAGAACAGAGTCCTGTAAAATGGAGAACCCAAAGCAAAAATCCTGTACAACATTGTGAGTATGAAAGGAAAGCATTGGTGTCCCTTTGTGATGTGGTCCATTGGGGAACTGGATTCACTTTACTCAGGCTCAGGAAACTGGTCTAATTCTGATTCTTTTTTGTGTTGGGTTGCCAGGAGGAGGGGATGATGGAGGCAGTTCTTCCATAAATCCAGGCTTGGAAATACAAGCCATTCCTTTTACTTCAATAGCACTGGTGAATCATTTATTGGAACAACCTTTTTGTTCTCTTCACCTTTAAAAAAACGTATCTCCATAAAGCATTTATGACGAAATAAACTTCTTGATGGCCTGGTGTTGCCAGCTGGTATTTTAGGCTCCCTGCTAATGCACTTTGTTTTACCAGTGTGGTCTCAGGACACCTAAAGCTAAAGAGAATTGAGAGTGGTCACTGGCAAAGACCTCTGCTAATGCAAATGTCCGGAGACGCTGACTGGTCATCTCAGAGCTTGGCAGTGGGGATAGAGGTAGAGACTTTATAGGCTGAGTCCAATTAAGACCTGAGTTATCGGGTCTAGGCCTTGAAGGAAAAGACAGACACAAATGCAATGTTGCTCATCTTTGCTCTGGAGGGTGCCTGTGAGCTGGCAATAACTTTGTGCAATATCCAGATTTTGTGGAAAAATCCTAGAAAAGCCTCTGAGTTTGTGCAGACCTCTGTAGTCCAAAGCCTATTCCTTATCCTCTCACTCCCCAAACCGGGTAGAACAGGGCCTGTTTCATACCTTCTTTGCCCCTAATTTTCCCAAGCCTGGGCTTTAGAAGCACACTCTTTTGCATTCACAAATATCCTCACAGATCGTAACCAGTAGAGCAGCACTGAAGCTAGGAGCTGAACAGGTTGGAAAACGGAGGAGAAGGAAGGGAAGACAGGTTTCCCCTTGCTCTCTTTGGGTCCCATATTATAAGAATCAGGATCCTGAGAAAGACCGTATCCAAAATCGCCTGTCCACACACGGACACCAACGCCTGGTATTTCCCTCTACAGTCACGCAGCCCTTTGTTCACTCATAGTGTCAGGCATTGCATGGCCAAGGATTTGCTAGAAAACAGATCCTCATAGGACATAGACAGGCTGATGAAGAAGCCGATCTTCATCAAAGGGTTGCAGCAATAAATGCATGGTTTAAAAACACAGTAAGTGCACGGTGGAAAGGTACGTAGTGCCAAAGGTTAAAAAGTAAGGATGTTAGCCGTCCCATGGACATCCAGGGAAGGACTTGTCATTTGTGTTTGTTTCCTTTAGTTCGAGGAACCGATTCCAGTTACAATCAGCACAGCCCGTCTAGGGTGGGGCCTTCAAGAATGAGGAAAACAGGTCTGTGATTTGTTGGATGCCTGCTTTGTGATAGGAGCTTCACATTCTCATCTACTTGATTCTCAAAAAGCCCAGGAAGGTTGGGCCCATGACCCATGACAAATGAAAACCTAACTTCAGAAAGAAGAGAGTTGCCCATGGTCAAATGCCCTGTGAGTTACAGAAGAAAGGTTTAAGCCCAGCCACATTTTAGCCACTAGCGATTTGTTTACTCCTTAGTGGAAAGGGGTCATCTGAGGAGCTGTTTCTTTTCTGGAGCATTCAGGAGGGTGGAGGGCTGGAAGAGCGTATGGGGCTCCCAAAGAAGAAAGGAGGAGAGAAAGGATGCAGAATGGAGACTCTGATCAATTTAAAGTTAACTTTAGATTGCACGGCAGTGTCAGCCCTACCTGATCCAACTGTCTGTCTGAGGGTAAAAGGGAAAAGCGTAAAGCTCTCGCCATAGGTAGAACACACACTGCTCTGACAGTTACAGGGGACAGGGCATAGTAAATGTGTTGACCCACTGGCACCTGCTAGTCAGAAGGGATGGCAGCCTCAGAGCCACGGGAGGCCCTGCTGCCCCAGCATTAACCTTCAGCCTTTGAATCTGGGAGGTCCTAAGGTCCTGGAGAGAGGAGGCCCCTAGGCTAGAGGACACAGGCTGGGGATGGGAGGTGAGGGACAGTGTCTATTTACCAGGTGGTACAACTGTATTTCAACATTTTAACAACTGCACCTGGACCCACCTATTGAACAACAGCCCCGGTAACTGCTATTTTAATTACAGTTTAGCCAGAGATACAAAGAAAAACAAATCAACTTCCCACCCACCAATATATCAATGCCTATTAGATGGAATCTGGCCTGAAGTCTTGTCTTATTTAACCCATAGAGTAATTAAAAAGAAATACAGGCCAACCTTCAAAATGGAGTAGTTTTACAAAAGAATTCAAAAGTCTGTTTCCTTTTTAAAAAGCAAATCACAAAATCTAGCATCTTAGAGCCCAGAATTTTCATGTGGCGATGGCCACCTGGAACTGAGGAGAGTCTGCACCCTTATACAGGGTGGGCTTCCCCAGGGTAACAGGAACCCTTGCTCACCCTGCTGTCTGCCTGGCCTTGGGGTCAAGTGTAGGTGGCCATTCAGCCTGCACCCTTGCCTGATTGCAGACAATGATTTCCCAGGTTGGATATGGTGGCTCACGCCTGTAATCCGAGCACTTTGGGAGGCTGAGGCGGGCGGATCACTTGAGGTCAGGAGTTTGAGACAACCCTGGCCAATATGGTGAGATCCTGTCTCTACTAAAAATACAAAAATTAGCCAGGTGTGGTGGCATGTGCCTGTGACCCCAGCTACTTGGGAGGCTGAGGCAGGAGAATCACTTGAACCCGGGAGACAGAGGCTGCAGTGAGCCGAGATCACATCACTGCACTGCAGTCTAGGTGACAGAGTGAGACTCCATCTCAAAAAAAAAAAAAAAAAAAAAAAAGGATATGAAAATGATTTCCCTAGGCCTAGTGCCTATGTCTGTACTAAAATAGATAGCAAGAGAAGGACAGAAGAGCCTGAAGAGTGGGCTGTTTCAGGAAATATTACAGGCAAAAGTGTATTTTCTCATGAAATAGAAAACTCTTCCTACTCACTTTTCATATCACAAAATTGTGTCTTGGCCAGAACACCAGACTTATCTGACTTTACTCACTGTGCTTCCCTGGGCCCCTGGGCTTGTGACCCATCACGGACCATGTTCCACTTGACTCTTCTGATGCTTCCTCTGCCGCCTGGCTTGGATGGAACTGGAGACACAAATCTGCATTTCAACACAGTGATCCTGCTGCAGGTGGTCCAGGCATCACACTTGGAACAGGGCTTGGCAAACTCCTTCTATGAAGGGTGAGATGGTAAATATTTGAGGCTTTGTGCACCCTGTGGTCTCTGTCACAACCACTCAACCCTGCTGCAGTAGCTCAGAAGCGTCGACAGACGGAATGTGAACAAATGAGCCCAGATGTTCCAACAATCCTTTTTTTTTTTTTTAACACAAGCAGGCAGCAGGATTTGACCCATGGGTTGTAGCTTGCTGATCCCTCTAGAGCAGGGGTCCTCAACCCCCAGACCACGGGCCACTACTGACCTGTGGCCTGTTAGGACCCAGGCCACACAGCAGGAGGTGAGCGGAGGGTGAGTGAGCGGAGCTTCATCTCTACTTATAGCCGCTCCCCATCACTTGCATTACCAGCCGAGCTCCGCCTCCTGTCACATGAGCAGTGGCCTGGGATTCTCATAGGAGCGTGAACCCTATTGCATGTGAGGAATCTAGGTTGTGGGCTCCTATGAGAACCTAATGCTTGATGATCTGTCACTGACTCCCATCACCCCCAGATCATCTAGTTCCAGGAAAACAAGCTCAGGGCTCCCACTGATCCTGCATTATAGTGACTTGCATAATTATTTTATTATGTATTAATAATAGAAATAAAGTGTGTAATAAATATAATGCACTTGAATCATCCTGACACCATCCCCCCACACCTGACCCCTAACCACCCTGGTCCATGAAAAAATTGTTTTCCGTAAAACTGGTCCCCTGGTGCCGTAAAGTTTGAGGATCGCTGCCCTAGAGGATGCATGAGATAACCGATGATAGTGCCTGGCACATGGTGGTATCTCAGCCTGAGCTCCTCACAAAAGCAAAGCTTGAGACAAAGACTGCCATGCAGAGTGAGTGGCTTATTTAGGGAACACAGCCGAGACAGGGGCACTAAACAGGGAAGGAGAAGGATTCAACAGGCAGATGTGTCATTGAGTTAGCTGCCTCTAGGGCAACTGGAGGCTTGCTCCCCAGGACTCTCTAGAAGCATGATGGAACATGTCTCAGGATCTCTTCCTCAAGGGGAATAGATGTATGGGATGGTTTCTGTCCCCTATTGACCAAGGTCTACCCCTAGGGTTGTCAACTCTCGCTGCATCTGTATGTGGGCTCTGCAGATGTTCTAGAAACAGAGGTGCTGGGAACAAACGTGAGAAGCATGAGGTATGTGCCTTCGGTGAGGCATGATGAGGTTGTGCCTGCAGGAAACCTACATAAAACCAGTTGTTGAGGCAGCAACTGGAATTAAGAGTGAGGGATTTGAAAAGCAATGGAAAGATAGGTCTGGCTCAGTGACCATTCATTTATGCTGTGGTCAATTGTGATGTGGTTCATTATTCTTAGGAGGGAATCGAGGCGGACTGCAATGGTTTTCAAACTTGTCATGCTTGGAAATGGTGCCATGTGGTGAGGCCTCATGGAAAAATCAGCTGTAGAGTTGTGCCTTTTTAAGAACTGCTAAGCACTAATTGATTAAAACATGTAGACATTACTTGTTTCTTTTTCATTTCCATTATGTAGTTTGTTTATGTAAATATTTATTAAATGTAAATCATCGCAACAATCCTGTAAGACAGTGATCATCATTCCTATTTTACAGATAAGCTTGAGCATAGAAAAGTCAAATAACTTGCACAATGTAACTAATATTTCCTTTTATGCCTTTTAATTTTGAGACAAATTCTCTCTCTGTTGTCCAGTCTAGAGTGCAGTGGCATGATCATGGCTGACTGCAGCCTTGACCTCCCAGGCCCAATTCAGCCTCCTGAATTGCTGGGACTACAGGCATGTGCCACCATACCCACCTGATTTTTAGGGAAAAAATGTGTAGAGACAGGGTCTCCCTGTGTTGCCCAGGCTGGTCATGAACACCTAGGCTCAAGTGATCATACCACTCTGGCCTCGCAAAGTGCTAGGATTACAGGTGTGAGCCACCATGTCTGGCTACAAATATTTCTTGCCTCTTTGTGTGCTAGGTGCTTCAGTTACTAACTAGTAGAGGGAGATTTTAAATCCAGGCCCTCTAATTCTACGTTCTTTGTTTTTTTCTAATAGTGATTTGGAAGGGAATGGAGAGACCTTTCACTTATTACTATTATTATTATTATTGAGATGGAGTTTTACTCTTCTTGCCCGGGCTGAAGTGCAATGGTTCTATCTCGGCTCACTGTAAACTCTGCCTCCCAGAGTTCAAGCAATTCTCCTGCCTCAGCCTCCCAAGTAGCTGGGATTACAGGCATGCGTCACCACGCCTGGCTAATTCTGTATTTTTAGTAGAGACGGGGTTTCTCCATGTTGGTCAGGCTGTTCTTGAACTCCCAACTTCAGGAGATCCACCTGCCTCGGCCTCCCAAAGTACTGGGATTACAGGAAGAGCCACCGTGCCCAGCCAAGAGACCACTCACTTCTAACTTTTCACCCAGTACAGTAATTTCTCCTGGTATACCCCTGGTGATGAGGGGAATGCTAACTTGCCTGTCAGCTCATTTTATTTCTAAAATGTACTTAGTATTAATTTACCTCTTTCATCAATTAGAAGCAATCTGGACATAGGAGAGGATATCCAAGTCATGGTTACGTGGTCCAGAAGACAGCCATCCACCCAGCAATTTGCATGACATATGTGGGATCCTTAGAGCAAGGCCACTGGGTAGAGAAGGATCCTGAGAGGCTGAAAAGCAGGTAAAGAAGGGTGAAGACAGGTAAGCAGAGTTGTGCAGTAGCCGCGGAAGTTCAGACTCTTGGGAAAACCGTTGTCTCCCTTAAGCGCGTGTGACTCCTTTGAAAGTCACCCTTGTTGGGCTTGGAAAAAGTGCCAGAGAAGAGAATGCTACTGGATTCACTCCACCAGAGCCCTCTGAGTCACACTTAGATGGGGCACTAAGAGGGTAACTCAAGGGAAACGGTATCTGCCTAAATTAATGTCGACCTTGTTGGTGTAACTCGCACTCTTCGGTATCCGCAGCTGTGGAGTCCCAAGGGAGTTGTCTGGCTACATGTGATTTTACATATCTGACAGCTAAATCAGAGATCCAAATGCCAAATCCTGCACTCAGGAACGTTATGTGGATTTGTGACACTCCCAAGGGGACTTTGGATCCATAAAGCAATGAATGGATTACAGTGAGGCATAAATATAGCATTTTCATCTGTGACATAAAATCTTGCTCTATTATTTCTCACACTGTTAGGTGAAGGAAATCTATACCCACTCTCTCAGGTCTCTTCTCAGAAATTAAAAGAAAAAAGAAGAGGTCTAAGCAAAAAAAAAAAAAAAAAAAAAAAAAAAGCCTCTTGATGTATCAGGAATAAACTAAGAACAGGGCGTGATAATTCCATAGAGGTTAATTTGCAATATAGGGTAAATTCTGAGATCACACGCATTGTCAGGAAACAGCGATCTCAGGCCAGCATGTCAGCTCAGTCACCAACTAGCCAGTTGGCTTGGAGCAAATAATTTCATCTCTCTGGTCCTCAGTTTCCTGATTTGTCCAGTGGACTACAATGTTAAAGGCATGTACTCTCAAGAATGGGCAAGATGATCCGCTGTGTGGTGCCAGAAGAAAATATTAGAACGTTTTGTACACTTTTAAAATGTCTAATTTTGTATATGGTTTTACAATGCCCATTTATATTAGTACACATCTATTGTCTATAAATGAATACATAGGCATATATTGGAAAGTCATATGCAAAAATGCATTCCTGCTAAAAGCATGGGAGCGAGAAGTTTGGAGGCCACTGATTTAACCCATCAAGGTTCTACTGTAGATGAAGGGAAGGGCCCTTCGTATCTGGTAGTCCATGATTCTGTGAATTTGAGGAGAATTCTCACTTATTTTCCTGAGATTCCCCCACTCCCCATCAGGGCTGAGTGCATCAGCTGTCCAAGGAAAACGTTGTGTGCCCATTTGTGATGTGCCACAGATGTGTGGACTCAGAAACCACAAGATGCAATTAATGGACCCCTTAGAGTTGTGCCTTCCATATCAGGAGTCTTGCAAATAATTACAATAACTTTCATTTGCTTCGTACGAGAGAGCTCACAAATCAGTTTCATAAGTAATTTCACATGCATTTCACTGAGAACTTCAGAACAGGTGTTTTCCTATGTACGAGAAAAGAGGTACAGAAACAGTCACCCACCTGGTATGCGACAAGGCTGTCACCCAAATTCTGTTCTCCTGATAAAGATTCCAGGGCTCTCTGCACTTATAACCAAGTGCAAATGCACTCGCTGGATCTCAGGGGGAATTAGGTGATGGTGTGTGAGTAGAGCAGTGTAAACGTGACCCCCAGTTACTTACAAAGAATGGCAGTGCTTGGGGCCCACAGTGGAAGGATCAATAGCATCATTCTTGTGTACACAAGACCTCCCATTATTCAGGGAGGCCTGGCAGAGGGAGAAAAGCAGATGCATGGGCTCCTTGTGCCACCAGCTGTCATGGCTTGCTACGCTGCAGTTCCTGACAAGTGCTGTTGTGACAGTCTTTCTACACAGTTGCAGGGAGCAGCTTGATGGGAACAGCACAAAAAGCCTTGTTTACAGAGGTGTGAGAGAACAAAGAGCACGTATATACCTAAGAGAATGTAATTTCAAGAAGGACTTTGATCCTGCCAGGTGTGGTGGCTTTGGAGGACAGCAGGTACCGCCACATCTGTGAACTGGTCACCCTGTGCCCTGCCAGGAAATGGGACTTGAGGTGCAGGAGAGAAGCTTTCCTTATTCCTTGTCTTCATTCAATCTTGTGATAATGACCTGCAGAAACGTTTATCCTTTTTACTCTAAAGTGGCATCGTGGCAGCTAAGACGTGTAATATTTCACTGCTAACCATGATAGCTCTTATGGGGTTGTAATAGAATTTAAATGTTTGTTTCCTCCTCTGGATTGCAAATCTCTTAAGGGTAGATATCCTGACTTGTTTATTTCTATACCTCCAGACCTTTCCCCTACAGAGTCTAACCCATAGAAGATATGTAATACTTGTCTATTTAGTGCAGGATGTGTAAATATATTTACACTGGTAAATATAATTACATCTGGTAAATATATTTACATATTGGCTGTCCTTTTAGGAATCTCTTCTTTTTTTTCTTTCCCTTCATTAGCCTTAAAGTAGGACTCAACACTTACTAAAATTCACCATAAAGGATTACTTTAATGAATAATTGTCATGATGCATAAAACCAGCAGAGGATTACTATCAGGATATGTTAAGAATGCCTACAAATAGATAGAGAAAGACACACATACCAGTTGAGAAATGGATGGACCAGGGATTGAACAGGAAATTCACAAAGAAGGAAACCTTAATAGTCTATACAAATATGACAAAAGAAAGATTTCCATATTTGTAATGGCAGAAATGCAAGTTCGAGACACTGAAATGCTATTTTACTCCTTTCAAAGTAGCAAGCATTTTAACAACCTGATTTGTTGGCAATGCTATGGAGCTGTGAATTCTCTTACCAATGAATGTACATTGCTACAACTCTGTGGCACCGTCAGGTACCATTGAAATTGCACACCCCCAGCAGCAGTTCCACTCCTAAGATACATTGGCAGTTTTTCTCAACCATTTATGCAGAGAATGAAGCCCTAATGTCCTGGGGCATCCATTGTGTGAAATGAATTAACTTCTCATTTCTGTATCTAGAATGATGTTAGCGATATACCATCCATGGGCAACTTAAAAAAATACTCATTCGAACCATCTTCTGTGTTCTGTGGTTTTGAAATTTTGCATTGATTATTTTTGGACTGCCCTTGACCACGGGTAACTAAAACATTGGAAAGCTAAACTGCGGATAAGGGGAAACTACTGTATTATTATACATTATAATATTAAGTATATTATACATTTATAGAGTATATAAAATAATCCATGTATTAAAATAGAATACATATAATTATTATGTTAATGATATATTTATTCTTTACATTAATCTTTTTATTTCCCTGTGTGTTAAAGTAGGTAATTTCAAGAATGTACCATGTTAAAAGAATAAATGAAATGTACCCCCACCAGTCCATTTGTACTGATGCAGTTGTGATGAATGATGACTCCTATGAAGGGAAAGAAGTTTTTCTTTCCTCAAGTTTTTCTTGAGCAAATTATTTTAGACAGAATCTGATCATTTCACTCCCCAGTTCAAAAATGTATGCTGGTTTTTGAGTGCTGCTTGACAGAGTCTAAATTCTGAAGTCTGGTGTTCAAAGTGCTCCACAAGCTGGGTCCAGACCAATTTAGAAGCAGCGCTTCAGTCTCTTGTCTTCAAGCACTTTACATTCCATTCAGATTGGAGTGTTTGCCATTTTCCAGACATACCCCCATGCTTTTCCATTTCATGCTGTTGCTGATCCCATTTTCACTTCCTGAGAGCTCCTTCCCTCGTTCTTGCAATTTGACATTATATACCAAAGCCTTAATAACATGCTTACTCTGACACAACAATTCTATTAGAAAAATAATTCGGGTTGGGCACAAATATTTAACTTGAGGATGTTTACTCTAGCATTGTTTCGAATGTCCAAATATTAAAACTAACCTTAATGTCCTCAGGGGATGTTTAAATAAATCCACCGCACATGGAACACAGCTCATAAAAGCATAGGCTCTGGAACTAAAAGGCAGACTACCCCAGCCAAGTCCCCGTTCTAGAACATTCCAGCTCTGTGATCTTAGCCATTCTGTGTCTGCATATTCCTAATCTGTAAAATGGGAGTAAACCAATATTTCCTTCACAGAGTTGTCAGGGGGGTTTAATGTGTCAACATCTGTTAAAGCACTTAGAAGAGCATCTGGCATATTGTAAATTCATTTGTAACTGATTCTGGACGTTTCTCATCCATAAACCCTTAAGGTGAGGAAATGTGGCAGTCTATTTTGATATCCTGGTTAAGCCTCACATTGTACTAGAATGAGTAAGGGTTTAAGGCGGGGGCGTCCAATCTTTTGGCTTCCCTGGGCCACACTGAAAGAAGAACTGTCTTGGGTCACACACAAAATACACTAACACTATTGCTAGCTGATAAGCTAAAAATAAATCACAAAAACGTCCCATGATGTTTTAAGAAAGTTTATGAATTTTGGGGGGCTGCATTCAAAGCCTTTCTGGGCTGCATGTGGCTTGCAAGAGTAGGTTGGACAACCTTGGTTAAAGATATATGCAAGAATCTCCGCTATTCTAGCTGAGTGCTTTTTAATTTGGGATTCTAAAGTAGTCAATTTGAACTTGAATAATTCATAGCAGGTGGCAGGAGAGTGAAGTAGGAGAACCCCAGGGTTGGAAAGTGAGTTTTATAAAGAAAGTATAAAGAAACTGGATTGTTCTAGAAAGCCAAGTCGCTCTAGCTGGAGTGCGGAGTAATCAATTATTAGAAGTTTTTGGGTTCTGGAGCTAGAGCAAGCCACTGTAAACTTGAACTGTACCACTAACTACCTGGGTGGCCTCAGGCCAGTTTCTTTCACCTCCAGCCTAGGGCTTCTCTTCTGTTGAAGAAGTGCAATAAGATCCACCCTTCTGAGCTTATTGTAAGGTTTAGAAAGAATAAATAGTTCATGCTTCTGTGTTCCAGGCACTGGTCTAAGCTCTTTTCATATTATCTCACTTAATTCTCACAACACCCCATGGGGTACTATTGCGGGTTGAACTGTGTCTTCTGAAAAGATCATGTAGAAGTCCCAATCCTAGGTACCTGCGAATGTGACCTTATTGGGAAATAGGGGAAATAGGATCTTTGCAAATGTAATTACAGTAAAATGAGGTCATACAAGGTTACAATAGGTGCTAAATTCAATATGCCTGGTGTCTTGTAAGAGGAGAAGACACAGACGCAGAGTGAACATCACGTGGTGAGAGAGGCAGAGATTGGAGTGATGCAGCTATGAGCCAAAGAATGCCAAGCCTTGACGGCCACCGCCGGAAGCCAGAAGAGGAAAGGAAGGAGTCTTTCCTGGATCCTTCAGAGAGAGAGAGCATGGCCCTGCTGACACCTTGCTATGGAACTTCTGGCCTCCAGGACTGTGAGAGGATAAATTTCTGTTGTTTAAGCTGCCCAGTTTGTGATGACTTGTTTCAGTTGCTCTAAAAAACAAATACAGATACCATTATTTTCCCTGTTTTACAGATGGAGAAACCGAGACAAAGAATAAGCAAGTAACCTACCGAAGTTCTCACATAACTCGTAAGATAGCCAGGATTTAAAAGCAGGGCAGACTGTGGAGTCTGTGCTCTTGTTAGCTGATATTCAATTGGGTTCTGGGTAATTTCATCATTTTCCTGGGGAACACAAACTGTATATTTTCAGCTCTTAAATGTTGATATACTTCACCATCCACCATCCCCAAGAGGCATTATTCTGTGGAAGGAGAGTGATCTCGTCACATGGTTGTCTGAAGTCCTGTCCTCATTAGCCCAGCTGAGTCTATGTTCAAATCACGCAACTTTTACAATATTCACATAGCCCAGCTTCCAGCCTAGCTGGGTCACAGCAGGCTGGTGACAGAGACTCTTCCTCCATGGTGCTTGAGTAGAATCCTCAAATGGCTTCTTCAGGTCACACCAGAGAGAGGCCTAACTCCTAAGACTGGCTGTGCTTCCCCTAATAATTGTATCACAGCAACTACAGCTAAAGCAAGCTGCTATAGGCAGAATATTTTACGGTGACTGTTAGAGGGCCCTACTGACTTACAGAGAGAACAAGAAAGAGAATAAATGAAGTCTGAATTACTCCCAAATTCCATTTCATCCAAAAAGCTTTACCTTCCTCTTCCATCAAAATGATTTTCTCAACTGCAACCATTAGAAAGATTTTCATATTTATTTACCTCTCTCTCTCTCTCTCTCTCTCTTTCAATACTCAGGAAAATGCATGCCAGAGAGAATGGAAGAGCAGAGGCAATCCAAAACTGGATTTCCAGTCTAGAATCTTCCAGGCTTTTCTTAATCAGTTAAACCTTAAAAGACACAAAGGCTTACTAGGTAGCTACCATCTACTTTTCTGTTTGTTTTGGCCCGGTAATCGGCAGCTTTACCAAGACCCTCACCCCCAATCTGATTCCCTTGAGAATGTGCTCTGGCTCTTGGCTTTTGGATGCAGGGCAAAGAGAAACTTACTGATTGCCTTCTGCGGGCACCAGGCTGCAGCAGGTTGTTATTCAAGTTGATAAAGGCTTCCATCCCTGGGGAAAAACTCCATCTTGCCAACCGTGACCCTGACTCAGGGTGTAAGCTGAGTCCAGGCACACCTGTACATCTGACAGATGAGGCAGGCTCTGAAAAGCCTCTGCTGACAAGCTTATCGGAGTGCAGAC